AAAAAAAAAAAAAAAAAAAAAAAAAAAAAAAAAAAAAAAAAAAAAAAAAAAAAAAAAAAAAAAAAAAAAAAAAGTGAGAAAACTATTTAGAAGTTATATTGACAAATTAGACTTCTTAATTCACTATAACTCCATAACACAATTATGTAGCCCGACCAGGTTCCTGAACTTGAGTACCAACAATGAATCCAAAAACTTTAAAAAATGATGTCTGGAGGAAAAAAAATGCTGATTAAGTATTCTCTCTAGAACTACTTTGAAGTCTCCTAAGTGTTATTAAAAACTTTTCAATCTTATGAACATGTGAAGAGTGTTTCTAATTAGATGAAAGTTACTTGTATTTTAAACATTATACCAATCTCGATTTCCTCTCCAAAACTTTGAGCAAGTATTGTACACGATTTCCATTAACCACAGCTACAGGAATGTTATATAATTGAAAGTATACAAAAGCATAGCGATGCTCTATCTACGAGGTACAGATCAAATGATCAATTTAACTTTAATTTGCTAGTTAGGTCATAAAAGTTAAACCTAACACTGATAATACTCCTCTAGTCAATGAAATTAGTATGTGTTTCTTGCCCTCCACTGCGCTAAAGATAGAAAAATTGTAATTGAAGTTGAGAAGAAGTTAAAGATATTACTTCTCAATTTCCTTCAGAAATTTATCATAGGCTGGGAAATGCAGCCGGTGTCCAGTTGGAGCTGTTAGAGTTTCGAATGTGGATCTTGTATTGACAAGATCCGAAACTAATGGAACTAAAGTCCCTAACCACACAAATGCATCTTCTCCAACATCTGGATCGTCGTCAACCTGCCAAAATAATACCAAAATTAGGTATCCGAATGCAATACAGAGAAACAGACAGGCAAATAAAACGCCAATAATCGATTGAAATCTAGTGCGACATCATGCTCCATAAGGGAGATAAGAGTTGGTTGGGGGAAAATATTCCATAGCGAAAAAAGAGACATCGTCCAACTACACGCGATGCTTACAAGCAAGGGCATAAGGTCCGAATAGAAAAGAGGGATCTCATCTTGCTCTGGCGGCACATTGGCTGCTACGACTTTATTCTTCTCTTCTTTCATCTTTGCCACACACTCCTGTTACATCGACGACAACGAAATGTAAAAGCTATACACGAACAACTCAATATTATCGATGCATAAGGCCGAGTTTCAGCACGAAGGTACCAAATTGAAAAAAATTTGGAAGCAAATCATCGAAAACTAAAATAAGAATCAAAATACAACATCATAACATCATACTCCACTTTTTGCAGTGCGTAACAAAAGAACAATCGCCACAACTAGAGTCAGAGACGACGTAATCTTCCGATAACCAAAAAATATATCGGAACATTATAAACAAAAAACGCGGCCGTACATATCTTCAAACTAAATCGATAGAACCGGAAAATACAAGCCTAATAGAGAACTTCAGAACAAGGTCGATAGAGTAGAAGTGCGTATGTGCACGAACCTCGCGAGACTCTTCAGCTTCAGTGGAAGGCATCTCCCAAGCAAGCATCATATCAAAGCTGAAGCGGCTAAACGAACCATTGCAAATATCTTCCTTCAAGTTCCGGCACATATCGGCCAGAGCCTTGGCACTACAAAACTCCAAGAACTTCCTCGAATAGCTTCCAGTCTCAGGTTTCCACGAAGTCTCAAACTCCTCCACCAATCCTTCCACAGAACTGCCGACTATCCTGCGAAGGCCACAATTATCGTTTAGCAATCAAAATTTAAATAAAACCACAAACCGCAAAGCAAGAAGGAGAACATTGAAGTGCCTTCAATTCGAGAGATAGCGAAGAAGAAGAAGAAGAAGAAGAAGAAGAGGTTATCTTACAGAGCACAGTGTTGGATGACGTCATTGGCGACGGAGGAGAGGTGTTTCCGAGAGGTCGTCTCCATTGTTGCGGTGATTTCGTTTTGCTGAACCATTGGAATGGAGGAGTTGGAGAAAGAAGCTTTCAGTTGTAATGGCATGGCAACGCAATGAAGGAGCGTGTTGTACGTGTCTTTATACCACTTGGCCACGTGGCATTCCTCATGCAACGCTTTATGACTTCCATACAATCTCAACTTCGTCTCTCTCGCGACTTGAACTTTTTATTTATTTATTTATTTATTTTTAATTGCAATAATATCCCTAACCCTAAAAATAATAATAATAATCTTATTTATTTAAATTTAAAGAGAGACAAAAATAAATAAATAAATAAAATAATTCTTATCCTCTTGGAAAATAGTGCCATTAAGAGATAGAGAGAGGAAGAAGGCAATATTTAGATTTTTGTGAAAATCCAAAGATAGATTTCTTCACTTTTTATAAATTAAAGTAATTTAATATTGTGATGAACACGGCTAAATAGATTATTGTTACCGTTTAAATTTATCGATACCATATATTGTTTAGTCTTACGATTTTAAAATACATCTGTTAGAGAAAAGTTTTCATACTCTCATAAAAAATGTTCGTTTTTCTCTCTTATCACGCGTGAGATCTCATGATTATTTTTACGGGTATTTAAAAAATTCGATGACTAAAATATTATAGTAATTTAGTTGATATTGTGATGAACATGTATGATTAAATTATTGTAACAGTCCAAATCTATTGCTAGTAAATATTGTCTGTGGTTATGTATCGTTGTCAATTTAATAGTTTTAAAACCCCTCTCATAAATATAAATTTTTATAAAGGAATGCTTCATTTTTTCTTTGGATCAATTTTAATTTGGAAAAAAAAATCTCTGCGGGAGTGATAAAATCACCCTATGTGGATTTTGGGGTGAAATTATTCTCATACGTGGCAGTTGATGATTGGCTATGTAGCAGCGTGTTCATAAGGCGAAACGGACTCTCTTCAAAGTCGAAAAATAGATACCTTAGAAACCACGTTCTCTCTCTGAATTTTCATCTGCAGAGCAAAGCGACTTTCCTCTCTCTCAGCTCATCGATGAAGAAGGTCTCTGATCCTTCTTCTCTGGTTCGCCTAAACATTGGTACGTCACCTCTCTCTATCTCTCTCTCTCTCTCTCTCTCACACACACACACACACACACGCACTTTCTCGGATTCGATTGCCTTTCATCAGTTTATTGTTTGCTCCAAGTGAATGAATTCAACTATTGATTTCAACAACTGTTATATTAGTTTTCGAAAGAAGATTACGACATTTAGGTGCTCATGATCCTGTTGATAGATTATAGCTAGCAATTGATTGATGAGTTTAGCTGATCTTTGGCACGTTCCTGCGTGGAGGGGACTTTACCTCCCATAATTAGCATTGTGCTATCTTTAATTCTGTTGTATTTATTCATTTTGTGTTAATCGAGGAGGATTTTGAGTTGATTTGGATATTTCTTTTTTTTGTGAATTTTTGTGTTTACTTGCAGGTGGGAAGAAATTTAGAACAACATTAGATACATTGACTCAGCGAGAACCTGATTCGATGCTAGCTGCAATGTTTAGTGGCCGTCATACTATATACCAGGATCCTGGGGAGGTGTGTGTTTTCGGATTAATTTATTTATGACGAGTATAAGTAATTTGTTTCATTCCAGTGATAAATCAATTGGATTTAGTCTCAAGTTTTATCGCCATATGTTGAGGTTCTACTGTTGGAAACTTATTCTTCATTGACATAATTCACTCTCTCTGTATATGATTTTTTTTTTTTTTTACCTACAACTCTACTCCATTTCTATTATGGACATTAATATCTTATTTGATGCAGGGATCTGTCTTTGTGGACAGGGATGGGAAACATTTTCGACACATTCTCAATTGGTTAAGAGATGGCATAGTTCCAACTCTTTCTGACTCTGAGATTCAAGAGCTTCTGCGAGAGGCAGAGTACTATCAGTTGCTCGTGAGCCGTCATTCTTTCCTATAGTTCAAGCTTTAATTTAAAATTTCACGACTTCTTTTTTTTGTTAATATTTATTTTCCATGTCGGTTTTATTGTGGAAGGGGCTACTGTCCATATTAATGGTTTGAGGGAATTGCAAATTATTCAGGGACTCATCGATGGAATAATTGAACTAACAAGTAAAAAGAAGGAAGATGAGGAACCTCAGTCAGAGCTGAAGCGTGTTGATGTTATCAAGTGCATACAGTTTGAGAAAGTTAGACTGCGAGGGGTTAACCTTTCTGGGCTTGATCTGTCCAAGCTGGTAAATATTTTCGAGTTTCTTGACTTATTAGCTGATAACTTTTTAAGTAAAAGAAGCAATCTCATTATGGACCAAATCTTACAAAGAAGGTTAGCAATGGTAAGGTTCTTCATCAAGGAAGGCCTAATATGTCTTGTTTTATTAAAAAGTTGTTGCCCATGGAATGGAATCAAGTACTTCAAACCCATAATTTAGTCACCAACCTATTATATTTATTGCTAGGATTTTCACTTAGAGAATGCAGAAAAATGATCACAAGTACCATTTTGGAGAATTAGGACAATATTGGGTTGGTAGGCAAGTCCTCACTTATATCTTTAATAGCTCACCAAGTTATTGGGCGCTGACTTTGAAAAGGCCCCGGCCCCAGTTCATATTATTGGGTTTTTTTTTTTTTTTTTTTCTGGATACGATCCTTTGATGGAAAATTTTGATTTTACGTGGATGTCTTGAATGGGTAATTGTTTCCACTCTTTCAACTTCTCTATCTTAACTAGACCTAAGAGTGAGTTCTTCGCCACTAGGGGTTTTAGTTTGAGGGAAGAATAAAATTTATCCAACTCATCTACGGTTTGCAAACAGTACAGTTTTCTTTTATTCTAGTAGGGGTAACTGTTTCATCCCTTTGATCGAAATTAATATGAACCAAGACATAAATCATGCCATATAATCTTCAAAGAAGATTTTGGATATTAAAATGAAAGTTACATACTATGCCTCTTAAGCCATGAGCTTGTTTCTTTGCATTTCTTGGGTTTAGATTTGTATGCTAGAGTCATTAAGTAGTCTTGATCAAGCTATCTTGTGAAGTGATTCGAATCACAAGTTTTCTTGAAAGTTGCATATTAATATTGATATTGATTATCAAGGTAATACGTTCCAGAACTTTCTCTTGGGTTGATTCCTTATCGTTTTTGGAGTTTTGGATAATTTGAATCTAAAGGTCTTTAAGGTTATAGATAAAATTCCAGAGTTTCGTAACTGAGATCCTTATTGTTTTTCAATCGGCGAGGTAGGGCCTTTATTTTGTTATTCCTAACACTTTCAGGAATCCTTGCAAATATTTTGTTATTCCTGTCACTTTCAGGAATCCTTCAAAGTCATCCCCTAATATTTGCCTCAGCTTGATAATTTCATTTCTTCTTTGTTAGAAATGAAATTGTACTTCCTTCTAGGAAGATCACTGGATTGCACCAAATCCCCCCGCTTTCTCTTCTTGGATTTTTACAGTAATCTACTGGCAAAACAATTCTCCTACTATTCTACTGTATGGATCTTCTCGTAATTTTCAATTTTGGGCCTAATCTGATATGAACGGGGCCGCACTTCCCTCTATTTTGTCGTGAATGCTATTTTTGCTTGCTTCTTGCTCATGGAAGACCAACACCATACAAAGCAGAAAAGTGAGATAAATTGGAGGTTTTTAGAGGTTTGGACCTTGGCTACGTTCAAGGCCTCTCTCCTGAATTTCTGTAATCGAGGATCTTAGTGTTAATTGGTAATTGAAGCTATTTTCTGTATTTCTTTTGTAGCTAGTAAGTTCTTGTATTTTCTTTTCTCTGGCTCCTGTGTCTCGGGACATTTCCCTTTTGTCTACTTTTATTATTATCAGTGAAAACTGGTTTCTCATTTTCAAAAAAAGGTGCGATAGGTGAGGACTGATATAACTTAGTAATTTACCATAGACAATAAATTATATTCTCAATTTAGATATACTTATAGCAAGTATCTCTATTTAACGTATCTGTTGGTTGCTGTTTATGCAAGATTACATATCTCATGTCTAAAGCTGTTAAAATTTTAAAATATGCAGGACCTTTCATATGTTGACTTCAGCTATGCAAGTCTTAAAAACGTGTTCTTCTCACGTGCAAACCTTCAGTGTGCTAAGTTTCGGGTATGTACAAGCAGTTCCATCTAACTATGGAGACTTCTGTGATTACAAAATTTGTAATTATTAGTTTTTCCATGAAGGGCGGAAGATAGCTTCCACCACCAGCCGTTCACTATTTTTCTTGATAAAATTTCGACTCTATGGAATTGATCTGGTAGTCACTGAAAAGAAGTTCGTCAATATATATTTCAGGATAATTCAAAGTTTGACATGTTCTCCATATATTTGTAACAATATCAATAATTGTGCATTGTGCATAATGTTTATATCAATAATCGCTTGATTTCTGAAAAATATTCTAAATTTCTAAAAGTTGAGTTCATACAGTATCGGTCAAGGATGCATCTATATCCCATTTTTCATTTTGTACATGCAGGATGCAGACGCTGAGGGATCAATTTTTCATAATGCAACTTTGCGAGAGTATAAAATGAATACTTGATTCCCTTTTTGTTACCGTTTTTAATTATCGTTTTTAATTATCTGAGGACTGCGTTCTTAATAATTTTATTTTGCCTAGGAAGATGTGAATTTACTGGAGCAAACCTTCGTGGGGCCTTATTAGCAGCTGCTAATCTCCAGAGTGCCAATTTACAAGGCAAGTTTCTTTTATCACTGTACATTTCTTATAACACTTATTTTTCTTTTTAACGAGTGTTTCTCCATCAGTTATTTTCTCGATTCCACTGGTTAACTTAAATTCTGCTTTGCAATGAAGATTCCATTATGTTTAGTTTAGACTAAATCCTAATTTTGTCCCAATGAGATATTTGTTTGTCACTTTGGGATTAGTTGGACATGGTTGAATTTTACAATCTTTCCAGATAAATATTTCTTTCGTGGACCCAGGACAAAATATTTCTTAAGACGACTAAGAGGGCCGTGTAATATGTTTACCTCACAAATGGGGGAACATTGCTCGATACACAGTGTGCAAAGGTGATGGCTAGAAAAAATAAAAGTGAAATGGACAAACAGGATCCTATGATGGAAGACACTGATTATGAGGAAAAGAAATTTGGATGCATGTTTAAAAGTACTTAGGAACATATTTTTTCTGAGTACTTGTGATTACTATACTCGTTACAAAGAAACAACACAAATCCCATGGACCTTTCGTTTGAAGCAATTTCATTTGTTTAGCCTCAACAATAACCTAAAGGCCATCTTTTCCCTATTTGTTCCTGTGCTATGGCTTGCCAGGAGAGAATCTCTTCATATGTTTGAGCGGAAAGGTTGCATCACCAGAGAAACACTGGTTTAACAAACATTTTCTTATGAGATTTGGTTCCTTCTATTCATTTTTTTGGTATTTTTGTATCTTTTTTTGTCTTTGTCAAAACTTATTTCCAATCCGCTACCAGTAAGTGATCCACTTTTGTTAAGTTTAAGCGTCAAAGGTATAACTTTCACACCATTTAGGTGTGGTGGATTAATCAAACATTCTTATGATATTAGAGCCATTTTGGTTTAACGACCTCGATCCTTTCTTTTTAATGTCTTTTGAAATCTTCTACTGTTCTTCTCCACCACCACTGCTGGCTTTGACGACGCAGGGGCAGTCGTCATGGCTGTCACATTCAGAGCCGATTGATTACTCTTCGGCTCCACCCTTTTGACCTCCAAATCATCTTTCGCCATACTTTGTACATACAACCTCACCTTTTCCAAACATAGTCTCTTTCATTTTCTTCCCAATTTTCCCTTCATCCTTCACAAAAACCCTAATCTTAGGATCTTCATCAGCGTTCTATTCGAAAATATACAGAATCTCGATAAGCCCATCAACCTTACGCAGAGATTTACCTTTGGAATCTGAGCACCGCACTGGCCTCTTCGTCAACCAAGTTGCCGCCGCCCTTCTCGCCAAAATTGGCTCCTTCGCCCAATGTGGCGACTCTTCCGGTTCCAACATTGTCTTTGTCCCTTGCTCTATGTTTCCTCTTCTACTTCTTAGGGTTAGACATACTCTCACCAGAGCCAAGGCAGCATCGTCGCTAAGCGACAATCCCTCTTCATGGGTTAGACATATTCTTGTCGAAGCCAAGGCAGCATAACCGCTGAGCGGTGATCCCTCTGCAATTTTCGATGGCCAAGAAAGTGTTTCTCTATGCCTCCTCTGAACCAGGTTGTTGACATCTTCACGAAATTTCTCAACCTCTTTGAATTTTTCAGATTCAAGCTTCAAGTTTGTTTAAATCCGACGCTTATCTTATGGTGGTGGGGTGTTAAGGATATTTAGTAATAAATTATAGTTTACCATATATATTATATTTGATATTTTATTATAAGGCAAATATTTAATATTTGCCTTATTACCAATAAGTATCTTTCTATTTATTGTTATTTCCATTTATTACTCTTTTCATATCCTTGTAATTTAAATTTATTTGTTTATAAATAAGATAACTTTCACACCATTTAGGTGTGGTGGATTAATCAAACATTCTTAAAAGGAAACACTAATTCTTGTAATATGGTTCTATTTCTTTAGAATCTCCCAAACATAAGTGATAAGTGATCATCGGTCTTCATGAAATTATATTTGTTATCCAATGACCAGATTAAAGTAATTGTTAACTTTTTTTTCTTTTTAATAGAAAAGCTATGGTGCATATTATTTGTTTCCTTTAACATTTCTACTATACCCTCTGAAGTCTTTCATGTCAAACTGCAGATACTTGTTTGGTGGATTGCAGCTTCTGCGGAGCAGATTTACGCTCTGCACACCTTCAGGTTCAACACATGTTTTCGATAAGATTTTATATACTCCCGATATTGTTTTTATAATTTTCTTGATTATGAACATTTCATTACGCTCTGCCACACCTTGTCGTATCATGAATCTTTGGATGTCTCTCCACTCCCTTCATTGTTGGTCAATTTCTGCCCTTAGCAGGGAGTTAGGGATATTCAAATGAAAAATAACATTAAAAACGGTAAGGAATAACGCTATACCATTGTCACAAAAAATTTCAGGGGGCTGATCTAACTAGTGCGAACTTAGAGGGAGCTAATCTTGAAGGAGCAAATTTGAAGGTAAAATTTATATATATCTACCACTTAGTTCCTCATCTTTAGAAACAAAATTTCGTGACGTCCACTGATTGTAGGGCGCAAAACTTTCAAACGCCAATTTGAGGGGTGCAAACCTACAACGAGCTTATTTACGATATGTGAATCTTCAAAATACTGTAAGTTCTGGTTGAATTGTAAGATCGTATAGACTTTGTTCGTGTTCATTTCTTTTTGTTCCCTGTAAAATTAATAGAATTGTAAGATTGTATAGAAAATCTTTCCATTTTTCGAACTTTAACTCAGACATCTACCTAATTTTACAGCAATTGGAAGGTGCAAGGCTGGATGGGGCAAATTTACTGGGTTCAATCCGATGAACTAAGTGTAGGTGTATGATTCAAGGAATATCACTATGTTTTTATAAGTATATAGCATGCATATATATAATATCATTCCCTGTTCATTAAATTATGCGACATAAAATTTCCCTGTTCATTAAATTATGCGACATAAAATTTAGGCCGATGTTTATAGACAATCAAAATCATTTGGGCGGATGTTTTGATTTGGGCGGATATTTATAGACAATCAAAATTATTTGCTTGGATTAGTAGATATATTATTTACTAACCATTTTCTTCCCTCTAAATCTTTACCCATCACTTTATACACTGTATTTATTTAAATTTTTGTTTTTATTTTTTTAAAATTGGACTTTTTTTTTTTAATTATTATTTTAGATTTCAATTTTGGTAGGAAAGTATTTAAATTTCAAGTCAAATTTAAAAAACAAATATAAAATTAAAAAAATAAATTAAAAAAATAACTCAAATAAAAATAGTATTTAAAGTCTAGAATATATATAGGCCCATTAAATTGAAATTATAACATAAATTGAATCATATTTTTTGATTACAGACACACCAAATAAACTTTTAATTTTAAATTTATTTATTTAATCTTAAGAGTTATATATTAATTTAACTTCTTTCTTGTCTATCATCAATCTTATTTATTTTCTTGAGTCTTATTTTTTTGGGTTATCTTAGCCATTATACTTTTAATCAATTGAAAGATGGGATAAACTTTATCATCAAAATATCACTTTAGAAACGATGAGGTAAACCATATCATTAAAATATCACTTTAGATATCACTTTAGAAACGATGAGGTAAACCTTATCGTTAAAATATCACTTTAGAAACGTTATTACACTTATTATAAACTTACCATTAATTGAAACATTGTTGAAGGTAATAACTACACGAATACATGCTTGAAAAACGTTTTTAAGGGACCCACTCTTTCTTTAAAATATAATATTTCAATTAAGAGAATAGAGATTCACATCTCCAAAAATCACATATCTTACCTTAATCGACGTACAACTCCACCTAGCTAATAGTCAATTGATAGTCAATTGAAGTACAGCTCCGACTAAGCTAATAGCCAATAAGTAACACCGACCAGCTAATAATAGTCAATTGAAGTACCATAACTCCAACTAGCTAATAAGCCAATAAATGAGCTGATACAATATATCAATAAGAATGTTAGAAGTTCTGAGTCACAATTCCATGGGTTGTTGAACTAAAACAATAAATATGAACTTACCTATTTCATTGAGACTCAAAAACGAAATCGTGAAAACATTCATATTTTGTATAATAGATCAAAAATGGAACCTTTGATTCCCTCAACAGTTCACTTTACATAAGGATTCCCTCAACATTGTTGAGGGCTTTCTTTACAACCTTAAACTTCTCTACATTAACTTTATTACCCTTAATCATATACTCTTTAATGAAGAACAACATACCGCTTCGAAGAGGCTCGAGCTCAGGGTTAATAGCGACTCGAGTGAACGCGTTCCAAATCAACTTGTCAGGACGTTCAAAGATCGAATCAAACATCATACGGAAATGCATGATCCTCTTTGGAGTAAGAAGCATGATATCACTCAGATCCACAGACTTCAAAACTGCGAGGGAGAGAGTATACGAAGCAATCATCTCGGCCGTGAATCTCGCAAGATTCATCGACCTAACAAGCTGCATCGTTTCCAATTCTTTGAAGTGATCCCATAGGCAATACTGTGGCGAAGAAGTGTGACAGAGTCAAAAGGTGATAATAATTTCACAAACGTATCGAAGTTCGATCGACAAAACAAGTGTAGACCAAAGAAAAACGAAACGAAAAGAATAATTCACCTGTAACGTAAACTTATGGTTTTTTTCGTGCTCACACAATTTGGAAGCTAGAATAGTGTAGTACTTGTTAAACACTTTCTCCTGTAAGCAGCAGTCCACAAGAACCCTCATTATCTCCCTGTCCTGTAGGATTATGAGAGATAGTGTCAACAGAATAGAACAGATGAGATGAGACGAACAAAATTTTCAATATATTCTACAAACCTGCTTTCCAGATAAATCCAATCTTAAAAGCTTTTCAAATGCATCAACATAATCCTCTCCGCTCATTACAATACAGAATATTGCCTTTCTAGCATCTGTATTCATTCTCTGTGCAGCTGCAAGTTGAAGCATTTTTTGAGCTTCAAGAACCTCGGTGTCGATCGTGCTGGCAAACTCTGTAATGTTTTCTGATGTTGTCATTACATCTCCAGTTAACCACCACTGTCCCTTCTTGTCGGGATCGAGCAGCTTTTTCCATTTTATGCCTCTAATTATTATATCTTCTACTCCTAACTGAAAACAAATAATTAAAGGAGCAAAAGGTCAGACAGGAATCACACTGTTTTTCTATAGATATCATGATCATGACTGACAAGGCAAGGTTACATAGCTCGGGCGTAGAATCTCGCTCTTTGTTTAAATATATCTACATACACTACCCAACTTCTCATGTCCTTTCTATGCCTAACGCATCTTAAGGCTTGTCAACTGACTCCAAATAGAGTAAACCATGAGTTAGCCTAGTAACATTAGTAGATGCAAAATGAAGTAAAAGGGCTTTTCTTGGGAGAATATACCAAAACTCATGGTGTGTAACAGCCCAAGCTAGCCCAAGCTGTGGTAGATATTGTCCTCTAGGGAAAGACCCAAGCTGCGGTAGATATTGTCCTCTTTGGACTTAACCTTCTGGGCTTCCCCTCAAGGAATGTTTCGTTCCCCTCTCCAACCGACGTGGGATCTCACATGGTGGCTACTTAATATATTAAAATATCGAGTCTAGAACGAGCAAGTACTTAGCAAGTTAAGCTCTACACTAAAAAATAGGGTAACCTACATAGAAGCAAGGCAATGAAATAGAAGAGAAAGACCTTGTGTAGCCATTTCTTTATCCGCGTATGGTTTGCAGGATCGTCCTTGGGTTTCTTCTTGTTATTTTTGATGTCACATATAGTCTCGAGCATGAACTCCATCTGCATCCATCCACATTATAATCTTACAAAGATTCAAACAAATAAAACAAAGGGTAAACCAAATAATATTACATATACAAACTCACTCTCTTTCCGTTGATGTTTTGTTGATCATCTCCTGAGGCCGCCTTCACCTCATTAACCTTACTTTGAACACTCGCAATGAAATTCTTCATTGCACAAGGATCATCACCCCTTATTTTCATTCCACAGCCTATCAAATTAGAATTAACAATGTTTCAGTAATATAACAATTAACACTAGTGAGAGATCGACAAACTCGATATCAGCTTACATTGTAGAACTGTTAGGATGGTGGACACGTCGATTTCTGTCAATCGCTTGCTCAGTATAGTCAGAAAATCATAGATCAGATCACTGAAAAGCATCAAAAGATACAATAATGCGTATTACAAAGATGTGGAGATATGCATTGTATAACGAAATATACAAAATAATCTGCATATTTACGTACCTAGCACAAGCTTCAAACACACACAAATAGGAAAGCAATAGTGTAAGATTCCGTAAAGAAAGATTATCTTCTTTCCGGTATTCTTCCTGAAAAAGATATATGATTTTCTTAATAATTCTCAAAATTTAAATCAAACATTTAAGGACGTATTCAGGTGGTGGCAGCCTCACCTCAAATGTGTTAGCAAGAGAGGCCACGAGTCTTGCGCTAAAGTCCGAACCAACCAAACAACCCATACCTGCAACAAAAGCCGCGAAAACAGCAGCATACCTTACACAAGAAACAAACAAGTTAGGGTAAATTAACAAGCCAAAAAGTGGTAAGGGAAGGTTGATAACAATATTAAGCAGACACTCAACTGTTCATTGCCACGAGGACCGCGCGAACAAGATGCCAGAACCTCCTCACTAATAATTTGAGAAGCAATGCTGCGTGAAATAGACTGCAAAAATTGATACATCACAATTAATTCCATATTTGGTAACATTCCACGGACACCTTTCCTAATGATAATCAAAATTTGATATGAACAAACAAGAAAGTTAAAAGAAAATATCATACGTGATAGACAGTAGACATTTCCCCTGTTACTGATTCCACATTTGATTCGGAAAGCCTGTTTAAAAGACCTGAAAAATTCGAAAAATTGCAGATTATATTTGAAATTGAAGAACATGAAGGGAAAAAAATTGGAGCAATAATCATAAAAGCTACCCACCTCGAACACGCCTGCGGAGTTGAGTATGATCTTCAGGCTCCGTTCCTTTGTGCAATCTCAAGTTAGGAGCAATATATTTTTGGGGCTTGACATGAAGTTTTTGTACCTCAACCTGTGCAGCACAAGGGGATTCCACACCATCATCATTAGTAACTTGATGTTGTCCTGACATCTTTTTCTTCTTCCGTTTTTTACTTTTCTCTGAAGTTTCTTCCACTTCACCATCGCCCACGCTTGCTTTCTCAATTTCACTCTCTGGAGATTGTTCTGACAAACTCCTTTTCTTCTCCTTCTTATTCAAAGCCTTGTTCTTCCTACTTCGCCCAACTGCAAACTCTTGAGAAAAGGGAAGTTCGTCTTCCCCAGGAGAATCAACAATCGAAGGGAGTCCTTCAAATAACACATTCATACCATCTTCTACTCCCCTTAACTTTCCAGCCTTGACCTTTAGTTTCTGTGCAAATTTTCTTTCTAATTCTAAGTCCTCCTCAGCGGACAATCGATGGTTCTGCATGCCCATCTCCATATCTAAATACTCTTCGAACTTCGTTTTCGCCTTGGTTCGAGACCGGAGTTTCAAATCCTCCTTCCCCATTCTCGCCGTCCTCATTCTAGCTCCACACTAAACCTAGTTCCATTTGCATTTTGAGAACAATTCAGAATATGCATTTTGAAATCATTGAATGATCAATGAAAAACCATGCGAAAACAAAGAGTGAAAGAGGAGGAGAGTACCTTGCTTTGAGGTTGGCGATAACCTTTGCGTCTGTCCGGCCGGCGAAACCAGAGTAAAGAAACTAGAAGACCTTTGTGTCTGTACGGCAGGCGAAACCAGAAAAAACAAAATAATTTAGTTAGATCTTTAGAAATAGAAAACAAAGAACGGCCGGCCGGCGAAGCCAGTTTTTGCATCAAGTCGGCGGAGGCGGTAGCGCTCGTCCTGTTTTGTTCATGGATGCATTTGTTCGACCTGAGTAA